TACTTCTGATGCCCAGGAACTGGTGAATGCCTGTCTCCGTGCATTCTTGATTGTTCAATATTATCTATTCCTGTTGTTATGAATTGATTGCTTCTATCTTTCTGTAGGTTGCTGCTAATTCTCTCCGGACGAGAGAGTGGTATAAATCACAGATGATGCGTCAGGGAAACCCAGCATGTATTTGACCCCTGTGAACAGATCCTGGGACCGTATGGCTGAGCAAGAAGGAGGGGTGCTGGAGACACGCCGCCCCCGACTCTCATCATCGTCCTGTTGCGTCCACCATCCTCAGCCCTGATAACTCAGCAAAATCCTTCTCAGGGAGAGCCATCTCCCTGCCACGGGCAAGAGGTCGCGGCCCGCTTGCTGGGGCCATGCTCCTGGCTGAATATCCTTCCTGCTGCTTTTAGCTTGGCTGGAGGGCACTCTTCACCACAGCGCCTGCCCTGACCACCAGGGCCCAGTGTGAGTGGCGTGGGCAGGGCCGCGTCGTTGGTGTTTCCTGAACGTCCACAGTGATTCCCAAGTGAGGTCTTCTTCTGCACGGCTGGGACCAGAGCATCTGGGCATTTCAGCCTGGGAATGTGCAGGGCAGCTGGCCTGCCTGGTAGGGAGGGGTTGGGTGCCCAGGGCTACCCCCAATGAGGAAGAGAACCCCCATTCCCAGGAGATTGGGCTGAGGATCTCTCAACTGTAAGAAGGGGGTGGGGGGACATCGCAGGGCCCTCCTGTCCCCCCAGCAAGCCCAGCCTCCCTACATGCGCCCCATGTGCTGGGTGAGGCTCCTTGACGGGCTGACCCATCCCAGGCAAGGCTGCCCCCAAAGCCCCCCGCACCCCCTGCCCCTGGGCTGGGCAGGAGTGTGGGGTCTAAGGGGGCCCCCAGCGTCTCACAGGCAGCTCCTCACACACTGCAAGCAGGGCTGGGGTGGGGGGAGTTAGGATGTGAAGGAAACGGGGGGATGGCAAGCCAGGATGCAGCCGGGGGCACTGCAGGCCATGAGGGCACTCGCTGTCTGACAGTTTATCTCGTGCTGCTACAGCTGGCTGTGCTGCCTGGGCAGGACCTAGCTCGGGTCCTCGTGGGGAAGACGTCACCTCTGGTGACCACCCGGTGACCTGCACTTCTCCCTGCCCCGTGAGGAAGGCCGCTCCTCTCCATCCCCATCCCCCACCAGTCAGAATCCCCGCGCCCTGGGAGGAGCTGGGATCACCCCCGTGTGTCAGGTAAGGAGCTCAGTCTCTGGGCAGCTGGCTGGCCCTGTCTCTGGCCGGCTTTTCCTGGTCCTGGGGCTGTGGCCTCTGGGGTCCCAACCCTCACGATGACCCGGCCCCTGCCTGAGGCTGGCCCCACGGGCCTGGGCATGAAGGGCAGAACTTGCCACCTGCAGACACTCATCAGGTGCCTGAGGGACAGCCCAGAGGGCCCCAGGGCACCTCCGACCAGTGACGGTGGCTGGAACGAGGTCTTAGAGATCCTAGGGCTGGGGGTGGCTGGCGTCTAAACCTCTATTCATCCTCTTTTACAGATGGGGAAACTGAGGCCAAGCTTGTGGTAGAGAGATGACCATGTCCCCCAGCCTGTGACTGCAGATGAACCGGGCTCTGGAGCTGGGTGGCCGGGCAGGGCCTTGCCTACCTACCAGGAGGGGAGTGCAGTGGGCTGGGCTCCTGACACCACAACGTTATCGCCTGTTTCTGTGGGGGGCCTCTGGGTGGTGGCAGATTCCAGAAGCAGAGCCAGGCCAAGAAAGGGGCATCGTCCCTGTCACTCCCTGGTCCCCACAGAATGTCCCCAAGCTGGAAGAGGCTGCCCTGGGCGTCCACAGGTCCGGGTGACCCTTCCTGCCCCACCCCCCCCACCCCAGCCAGGCCTTTCCCTGCTCCTGTGTCTGAGGGAGGGAGGGGCCTGGGCCCCTTAGAAGTCAGCACATGCCCACCCCCACCCCCCACTTGCTAGGACCTTCCAGATTTATTTTTGCTGAGAGAAGAGGCAAAGGAAAGAAAAGAACAGCCACCCCCAGCAAGAAACCAGGAAGCCGGTTGGAGCTCCTGGGACCCTGCCCCATTGTCCAGATAAGGAAACTGAGGCCCAGAGAGAGCGAGAGGGCCAGGGCCACGGGAGGGCCAGGGCTCACAGTGAGGCTTCTACAGGGTCCCTCCCAAGGCTACTTTACCAGCACACTTTGTCTCCCATGGTCACCATGGCTACAGCTCCCTGCTGGTGCCGATGGGGGATTTCTCAGCTTTCCTGGGCTTTCTCCGCTGGACAGCAAAGCAGGTGGAAAGTCACTACCAGCAGAGGAGAGCCTCCGTCCTAAGGTCACCTGCAGGTCAGGCTCAGTCTCCCAGCCAGGCAAATGGGCACACTGCAAAGGAACAGCTCTGAGAACGCACCTCAGGCAGAAATCCGGCTTTTTCCCCCGGTGGGGGTGAGAACGGGACCCAGGCCCAGGTGGCTGCGTGTCCGTGGGCGGGTCCCTCATTTTGCCCCGCCCCTTCCCGCCCAGGACACCTGAGTGTGATTCCACGCGGCTGTGGGAAGTCCAGGTGCCAACTATTTGCTAGCGACTGTCATTATTCTCAATAAAACGTGGTGATGTGGGTGGGTCGAGTTGATTCATGGTTGGGATTCTGTCTCTCCCTCTCTCTGCCCCTCCCCCCATTCATGCCCTTTCTCTCTAAAACAAAAAAGGAAATTAAAAAAAAAGAAATACACATTGTTGTGTGACCACCGCCCATCCATCCCTGACCTATTTTATCCTATAAAACTGACATTCTGTCTTCTTTTTTAAAGTGTTTATTTATTTATTTATTTAAGTTTTTAAAGATAGTCATTTGTTTCTGAGAGAGGGCAAGCATGAGCCGGGGAGGGGCAGAGAGAGGGGGTGACAGAGGATCTGAAGCAGGCTTTGCACTGACAGAAGAGACCCTGACGCGGGGCTGGAACCCATGAGCCATGAGATCATGACCTGAGCTGAAGTTGGCTGCTTAACCGACTGAGCCACCCAGGCGCCCCATTTATTTATTTGTTTGTTTATTTATTTAAGCCCTGATTCGGGGCTCAAACTCACGAGCAGAGCCCATGACCTGAGCCGAAGTCAGACATTTAACTGATCGAGCCACCAGGCACCTGACTCTCTGTCCTCTGAAACACTAACTCCCCACTCCCTCCCCGCCCCCAGCCCTCAGTACCCATCACTCTACTTTCTGCCTTTAGGAATTTGACTACTCCAGGGATCACACATAATTTGTCCTTTTGTGACTGGCTTATTTCAATTAGTATAATATCCTTAAGGCCCATCTGTGTCGTCGCACGGTCAGAATTCCCTTCTTTGTTAAGGCTGAATAGATTCCACCTTATGCATAGACCCCGTGTGGTTTATCCAATTATGTGTCCATGGGCATCCAGGTTGTTTCCACCTGGTGGCTATTGTGTAAAATGCTGCTATGAACACGGGTGTGCAAATACCTGTTCGTGTCCCTGCTTTCCATTCTTTTGCACGTATACCTGGAAGTGGAATTTCTGGGTCATACAGTTTCTGATGGAGGGACAGTTTTCGGTAGAGAATGCTGTGGTCCCGTGGGGGCAGTCAGGGCACTCGTTGGCCAGGAGGCCACATAGCTAGAGCAGGGACCGGGGATGGAAGTCCAGCTGTGAATTCAGGCCCGCCATGTGCTGGCTCCGGGCTGGGGGGCCATGGCTCAGCACTTCCCGTCCTCAGGGGTAAGTGGAGATGATGCTTGCTGCTCTAGAGGATTAAACGAGCGAGGGTGCCGCACCTTGGGGCAGTGCAGGGTGCAGGAGCCATCGTCGCTATTGTTAGCCCTGGAGAGGGACCTTCGGGAGAGAAGCTGCAGCCGTGTGGAGCTCCGGGAACAGGGAAAGCAGCAAGATCCGGGCAGGTCCTCCATCAGGAAGGGGATGGGGTCTCCCTTTCCCCAACCCCAAAGCCTTCTCCCCTTCCAGGCTCACCTAGTGCAGCGCTCACTCAGGGAGTTCTCCCTCTGGCCCACGTAGGCACTCAGTTTTCAAAAAGCATCCTCTCAATCTTCCCCCTTCACTCAGAATCTGGCATGAAAAGCTGCTGGGGACACAGCTGGTGCACAGGCAGGTGGCAGACCGCTGGCGCCTCTTGCACAACCAGAAAACTGTGAGCGCAGGGTTAATACGCCTGGGGGCTGCTGGGCACCACGCAGGCGGCCGGCGGTGGCGGCTCAGAGCCAGGCTGGCGAGTTCTATTTGCTCCACTCTGCTTTCTGCATGTGGAAGACCTCACAGCCATGCACGATGTCCACCCCACTCAAGGAGAGATGGGGTCGAGAGGAGACAGCTGCAGCGGTGGCCGTGGGAGTGACCCCAGCTCTGGGATGGGCGGGCCCTTCATTGAACGAATCAGGGCGTCGGCCAACCAGCGTGAAGCATCTCTGAGCACGAGGACGGGACCAGGAGACGGCCCAGCGCTCTTCTGGGCAGTTCAGGCTTGCCTAGGAGCGCTTTTCAGGGAGAAAGCGGGCAGACCACCCTTCCCAGCCTGGAGCCCAGCCCCAGCCTCAGCTGACACCACCCTCCCTTGCCCTCAGCATTCATTCTTCTTATTCATTCATTCAGTGGAAATCTACGAGGCGCCAGGCACGGGGATACATCACAGAACAAGGGGGGGGTGGGCCTAGATGGGGCCGCGGAGGCACTCAGGCCACAAGGCCCCCGGCCCTGTTCTCTCCGAGTGCTTCACGACCCTCCCACCTGGGTATCTGCTCCTGCAACTCTCTGCCTCGCCTCTTTCATTACCTCCTGTCGCCTTCGCCCTCAGACTTCCTTCCGCAAAGCAGTGTCTCCTCCTCGCCAGCATGGTGGGGTCCCCTTTGCAGATACTTACATCTTCCTGCCCCTCTTCTCCACAGAGGTGAGCACAGTCTGAATAGCGGGCCGCTGATTCACTAAGTAGGTCACGAAATCAATTTTTGGAACAACCAGAATTTTCTTCCTTTTATGCAAAATTATCGGGCAGTGCAACGTTGGCACCCGCTTCGAGTATCTGGTTCTATACGTTTTGACCACCGCATGCCTCAACCATCAGATAGGACATTTCCGTCCTCCAAAATGTTCCGAGTGCCCCTCCCCCCCCACCTTGTCAGCCTTCCAGCTGCAGGCAACCGTGAGTCACTTTCTGTCGCCAGAGAGTACCTTCGCCTGTTCTGGAACGTCACGTAAGTGGAGTCATACAGTCTGCGTTGGCTGAAGGCGGATTCCTGCGCTCCGTGTGCTGTCTGGGAAGCTCAGGCCTGGCGTCCTGCGTATCCGTAGCCCCTTCATTTTCACAGCGTGGCAGATTCCCTCTCGCAAATACAGCACATCTGTTTATCCATTGGGTTGGCTGATTGGGTTGCTTCCAGTTGGGGGCAATCACAAAGAAAGCAACCAGCATCTTCAAAGATGAAATAAGTTCCTCTAGACCACTTTTAAATTTTATTTTATTTTATTATTTGAGTACTTTATTAATTTTTAATTTTAATAAAATAAAATTTATTTTATTAGAGTACTTTTAAATTTTATTTCATTTTATTATTTGAGAGAGAGCAACCACACATACCCATGAATGGGGGTGGGGCAGAGAGAAAGGGAGAGAATCCTAAACAGGCTTCAAGCCCAGCCTGGAGCCCGATGTGGGGCTTGATCTCATGACAGTGAGATCCTGACCTGAGCTGAAATCAAGAGTGAGACACTTAATGGACTGAGCCACCCAGGCGCACCTAGACCACAGTATTTTGTAAGGGGAAGCACTGTTCATGTCTGTGATTGAAAATGCACATAGAATACGGTCCTTCCGGAAGCCCCGGCAGACAGGCTCCGGGAAGCCAGGGGCACCAGTGACACTGGTCCAGGATGGGCGGGGATCCGCACCAGGACTCAGCAGGCCTTGCTCTGCCCAAGAGTGGGGGTGGGTATGGTGGTGCATGCCTAGAAAGAGACACGATCTCACGGTTTGTAAGTTCAAGCCCGCACAGGGCTCTACGCTGACAGTGAGGGGCCTGCTCTCTCTTCCTCTGTGTTCTCTGTGTCTCCCGCCGCCTCAAAATAAATAATAAAAAACACTTTTTTAACAAACTTAAAAAAACAAAGGAAGGAAGAGGTGAGGGGCACCAAGAAGGAGCCCAGACACCCACTAAGGGACACTCCTTGTCTCTGAAATCACACCTGTGTCACATCAGGCTCCCCAACAGAATACCAAACAGGACTCGGCCACCAGCCCCGAGATGCGGTCACCAGCCCTGAGAGGTCGAGAGGGGCACCGGGCTTGGGCCGCCCCAGGGCCAAGGAAGCTCCCAGGCATGCAAGGCAGGAATGAGCCAAGTTAGCAGTTAACAGCCATGTCCCTGCAAAGTGGGGGTGCCATGCCCATTATTTGGGGAAACTGAGGCTTGGAAGTCAGGCCCTGCCACAGAGGGCCTGGAGCCATGGGGTAGGCAGCTCAGACCAAAATTCTGCCACACACACCCTCTCCGGTTCAGTTCCTACAGACTTCCCTTCATAGCCCAGCGTGGTCACCCCTCCTCTGGGAGGGCCCCCACCTGCTCTCTCTGTCCTCCTTAGCTGGCCCTGCCCCCTCTCTTGTGATAGGTCTGCTGCAGGTAGCCCCATATTACAGATAAGGAAACTGAGGCCTAGAGGGGTTAAACAAGTTGCCCAAGGCCACTTAAAATTTTTTTTTAAATATTTTTTGAAAGAGGGACAGAACATGAGCAGGGGAGGGGCCGAGAGAGAGAGGGAGACACAGAATCTGAAGCAGGCTCCAGACTCTGAGCTGTCAGCACAGAGCCAGACGTGGGGCTCGAACTCCAGAACCGAGAGATCATGACCTGAGCCGAAGTCGGACACTGAACCAGCCAGGCGCCCCTGGGCCACTTTAAAGTAAGGGGCAAGGAGGCAGTGGTGAAGCCAGAGTCACCCTCCAGTCTCATCCCGTGCCCAGCCCCAGGCGCAGCCCTGGGTCCTTAGTGGTTGCCAAGCACTGAGGAACCCCCAGAAATCCTTTTTACCCCCACCCCTCACCTGCCTCCCTCTTCCCCACCTCCCTCCACCGTCCTCGAGCATCCAGACCACACTGCTGCTGGGCGCGGAGCTCTAGCCTGTGACACACGTTCCTAGCTGGACCCAGGCTCCCAGGGCAGGTTTCTCCCCCACAAGGGGGGCTAAGCGAAGCCTGGCACCGTGTGTGGAGGTGTCCCGTCCGCAGCTGGGCTAATAAGAGCAAAACCCTACCCCCAATCTGAACACCCTCCACTGGGTCCTGGGAGCTCCACGCCAGTGGGGCTGTCCCGGCGCCTCTGGCCCTCCCAGGAGAGGAGTCAGCTGGCTCTCTCCGCGTGTCAGTGAAGGAAAGAGTGCCCAGACGGTGCCTGACTGAAGGCGCCAGGGTGCGGACTCCGGGCTGGGAGAGGCCCCTTGTGTGGGAGAATCAGAGGGGGCGGGGGGGGGGGTGTCCACAGGAGCTGAAGGACAGGACGGGACGCTTGGGAAACCAGACGGCCCTGCAGCGGCTGCTGTGGGGCGATGCTTTTCCAAGGCGTCTCGTGCCTCCCCCACGTTCTTACCAGAAGCGTTTATTACTCAGATAAAAACAAATTCTACAAAATCTCCCGAGTTTCAAACAAAACCAAACCACACCGAAGCCTTCAGAATCTTCCCAAGCAATGTCTATGGACACGGGGGCTCCTTGGGGTGGGGGGCGTCTCTTGGGGGTCTGTGGTTCCTTCCCCGATCCCTCGGCTGGGATCCCAAATCCCCCCCAACCCTCCGCCTTCCTCAGTCCTTCCTGCCCCTCCAGTCCCGGCCTTCCGCAGGCAGGCGGTTCCCAGTTACCAGCTCTCCCTGCGGAAGCTCCGGTTACCACGTTCCCTCCTCAGTGAGTGTCCCCCTCCCCCATCCCTGGGGCCTCTTCCCCCAGGGTAAGGAGAGGCTCAGGACCCCGGGGACGTCACTGTTCACTCTTCAGGACTTTTTCCCCTCCGCCCTCATCTCTTTCTCTAGTCATTAATTAATGTGTATTTTTATCCAAGTAATGCAATAGGGTGACATATATGCAGATGATATGCACAGAGCTTGAAAAGATAAACGGGCCTAATGAAGGTCAGCAGCCCCTCCCCCACAGCCTCACCCCCCCACCCTCCCCCTGAACAACCACATTCAACTCTTCTGGGCTTTTTCTGGATTTTATCACCATGTTTATAAATAATGTGCTTATGCCGCTGTCACTTGATTTACCAGTTTGGACCATTATCTCTTGACTTCCTTTTACAGACGATAAGGGTGTAGCTTTCTCAGAGCCCTCTCTGCGTCCCCCTCATCACCGATGAGTAACAATTTTTGGCAAAACCGATATTGAGTTGTTTCATGTAACGATTATGTAAACATCATTTGTTACTAAGCCAAGTAATGCACTGTGGTATGTTTCCTTTCTGGGTTAACTTTTAGTTTTTCATGAAGTTGATTATTAGCTTTTTTAAGCTGCTTCAAAAATGGCTCCCAAAGATCCCCACCATCAGATGCCCACACCCTTCTGCGGCCGCATTGCGGGTGGCCTCTGTTGAGAGGCTCGCATGGCAAGGAGGACACGCGGCCTTTAAGAGCTGGGGGCAGCTCAGTTTCAGTGAGCTTGGACACAGCTCCTTCCCCAGTCCAGCCTCAGATATGACTGCAGTCCCAGCAGGCACCTGAAGCGTAGCCTTGTGAGATCCTAAACAGACGACCCAGATAAGTCCTACTCCTGACCCACACAAATCATAAAATAAATTTGTAAGATAAATTTATGCAGCGATAGATAACTAATAGCTTTCTTTGTATCCATCTCTAAGCTCTCCCAGCGCTTCAACCCTCTCCAGGTACTGTCAGCCACTCATCCCAGAATCTGTCCTCACCACTGTCCCAAGACTTCCTCCCCAGGAGCCCCCCTCCCACAGCAACCCCTGCTGCCCACCGTCTGGGCCTGCAGCACCACTACGGTTGACCTGGGTTTCCCCTTTGCCTCTTTCTTCCAGTGGATCCCTGTCTCCTGGATCCCATGTCTTTCTCTTTCCTGGTTTCCTCCCTCATTTTGCCAGGGAACATCCTCCAGCAGCTTCCTGAGAAACAGTGCCTGGAAGATGGATGGTTATAATCTTTGCACACCTGAAAAGGTCTTCATCCAACCTCACATTTCGTCACGGCTTAGGTAGGTACAGAATTTCAAGTCACACAAGGCCTTTCTGCCTCTCCATCCAGGACCGCTGGACTTGCACCGTAGCACTCCCAGGCTCCTCCTCTACGTTGGTTGGTTTTTTTCTTTTCCTATCTTCTTTTTGTCATTCAAGACTCCTCTTTGGGGGATTCCCCTTTTTCTCCCCCACCCTTAATTTTGGCTCTCAACTTTTAAATTTCACAAGCTCTTTGCTCCATTAGAACAAATATCATTCTGGGGGCCCCTGGGTGACTCAGTAGGTTAAGCATCCGACTTTTGATTTCCGCTCAGGTCATGATCTCAGTTTGTGGGTTTGAGTCCCGCATTGGGCTCTGCATTGACAGCACAAAGCCTGCTTGGGATTCTGTCCCTCTCTGCCTCTCTCTCTCTCTCAACCAAAAACCAATAAATAAACATTTTATATATATATATATATATAAATATATATATATATCCCAGAATCATCTGTTTTCATCCCACTTCTTTTTCTCTTTGTTTTGGTCTCTGTCCTTTCCCCTGGAGGGGCTTCTCTCCTGCCTGGTGAGCCTTGGCTGCCGCTAACACCAGAGTGGGGCATGGACAAGCCAACTAGAATTTCTGTGTGTGCAAGAATTCCCTGTTGAGTTATCAGGCATCCAGGCAGCTTTGTTACACAAAGTTATGCTGTAGTAACAACCCCCCCCCCGCCCCCGATCCCAGGGACGTACAGCAACAAAGGCTTATTTTCACTCATGTTATATGGTGTCTTCAGGCGTCCCCAGCCCTGCTCCGTGTGCCATTTGTGTTCCGGGACCTAGGCTCGAGGAGGTCCCTCCATCCAGGACGCGTTCTTCTGAGGCAGAGGGAAAAGAGCAAAGGTGAGGCCACCTGTCACTTCCACTCTATTTTCATCTGCCAGAGGAAGTTACAGGGCCTTTACAGCCAGGGGCAGTGAGTGATCTGGAAACTTCCAGGGGTGATGCTATTGGGTCTCCGTCCAGTCTTCCGCCAGGGGATGCGTGAGCGGTTCTTGGCGTTCCAGGAGCAGGGCAGGGAAGAGCTGGGCCACTCCAGCACCTTCTCCAGCCCCACACTCATGCCTGCCTCTGCCCTACGCGATGTCCTGATTCTGGAATCTCACTGCAGGAGAATGGGTGGAAACAGGAAGCGGATGAACCTGCCCGGCTGAGCAGCTGGAGGATTCGGGAGCGTATTCATTCTCTATGCTGTATAACGAGCCACCACAAATTAGGAAGCTGAAAACAGCGCACATTTACTATTTCACAGTCCGACTGCACGGGTCCCCTGTGCGGCGTCTCACATGGCTGCAGTCAAGGTGTCATCACGTGCTCATCTGGAAGGTCAGCCGGGGAAAACTCTGCTTCCAACCTCGTATGGCTGCTGGAGCAGGATTTATGTCCTGGTGGCCGTGTGACCAAGGGCCCTGGCTTCTTGCCAACAGGAGACTCTCACTCGTATCTTAGACAGAGCAGCATGACAGCCCATCACCTGCACCGTATTCTATTGGCTGAAGGCAAGTCCCAGGTCCTGCCTACGCTCGGGGGGAAGGGTGTGTGTGTGTGTGTGTGTGTGTGTGTGTGTGTGTGTGTGAACATCAAGGGCAGGAAATCACTGAGGTTGCCTTGGGGTCTGTCCACCACAGGGGCTGTCTTCTGACCCCAGCTGGCCTCCCACAGGGCCTAGCTCAGCCCCGTCAGTTTCCGGGGGTACGTGGGTGTTTTTCTCAGGCGCCCAGGGAGGCTCAGGGCTGCCGAGTCCAGTCAGTTTCCATCTAGGAAGAGGTGGGCCTCTGGACCACTCATCTACGATCATCTCTTGTCTTTGCCTCTTTTTATTCCCTGCCATTGTTTTTATGAAGTTTCCAGAGGAAACAGAGATAAGCCCAAGGTTTAGTCTCATTTTTAACCTCTCACTCTGTCCCCCAGCTAAGCTACCCCCCACCCCTGCTGACAGCCTTAGCTTTGATGTGGTCTTCCTGCCCCTCCCCTGGCCACCCTCCCCTCCCTCCCACCTCCTGCAACCTCCACGTACACCCAACCGCGGGAGCCTCTCTCTGCCCCTTGTCTGCACCTCAGCAGGCTCAGAGATGACAGTGACAGGTGGGCAGACGGGCTTCAAATTCCCCATATTCAAGTTCTGATCGAGGGAACCCAGGCACACGGTGCTCCTTCCTGACTCTGTGCCTTTGCACACGCTGTTCCCTCTCTCTCTGAAACTCCTCCAGCCCCCCCCCCCTGCCCGGCCTCTGCCGTGTCTCCTGGCGATTCCTACTCATCTGCAGCCCGGGAGCCCTCGTGAAGTGGTACAGGAGGAACTGGTGCTCTGTGCCCCGTTCTGTCTGTCACAGCCAGGATCTTACCGCAGTCCACAAACATCTGCAAAATGGGTGCTGCACGGGTTCCCCTCACCCGTCTCGCCCCACCTCCCCAAAGCCACACCGGGCTGGGAAGGCATCCTTGAGGCATTGCATGTTGAAGCAAGGAATTCTTTCCTTCCCAAGCCGTCAGAGCCCCAGAAGGTACCGAGGTCAGAGGGATCTGCTGAAATCCTAATGGCCGCACCACACCCCAGCTTAAAACCCATGCATGACTGCTCAGTGCTGCTGCGCTAAAATCCCAAGGTCTGTGTGTCCCCCGCCCCCCCATGCTTCGTGGGACTCAGTCTCTGCTCCGGGCCCCCACCTCATTTTTCTTTCAAGGGAGCCAGAGTCCTCCCAGGGTCCAGGCTAAGTGCTTAGCGCACTGTCTTTCCTGCCCCCTACCCATTCCCTGGCACCACGCGGGTCTGTCAGTGGCTCCTTCTCAGGGAATCTCTGGCCAGTGGAGACATGCCCCTCCCCTTAGTTCTGTGGCAGAGATCATCTCCTGTAGGTATGTCATTCCCGCGGGGCAGGGCTGTGTCTGCGTCACCCCGGACACGTCCCAAGGCTAGCTCAGAGAGTAGGCGCTGAATGAATGAAGGAATCTGGAAAATGTGAGGCAGTGCTCACCCTTCAGGTTTAGGGTAAACAGACAAACTGAGTCAGGTGAGGACATGAGGACCCTAACCAGCCAGAAGCCAAAAAGCCAAGGGGTTAAGTCAAGAATGGACCCAGCCTCGGACCTAGCCCCGGACTGTGACACCAGGACGGAGCTCTGCCCCTCGTCCCCAACCCTCTTCCAGGCCCTCAGATGAGATCCCCGACAGAGATGACAGAGACGGCTCTGGCAGTGCCGGGTCACCAGGACCCCTTCCCCCCACTGCTGGGCGGGGTGCTTCCCCAAAACCAGCAGACGATATGCTAATTGCCAGGCTCAGAGCTGGGAGAATAATGGACCACTCACCACAAACCTGCAGAGTGGCTGGGTGGGGTTCCCTTGGGAAACCAGGGTGCTCCTACCTGAAGAAGAGTGGACGCCGGAGGAGGACCCGTCGAGATGAACCCAGTGGAGTGGGAGCAGCCCTCAGGCCCAGGGGGTCCCGCCCTGGAAAGCTCTCACAGGTCACTGAGCCCAGTGCGGCTGCACAAGATCTGCGGCTGAAGACTCGGTGTCCCTCGGTGCTCCAGCTCAGGCAGCAGGGATGGGGACCTGCGGAAAGGAACATCAGGAGTAGCCCCCCCCCCCCCCCCGTGTGGCCAGGGCATTGAACAAGGGACCCACTCCCGGCTGGTGGTGAGTCACTTAGAGAGAAGGCTTCCCGGATAAGGTGGGCCTCTCCGCCTCCAAGAGCGCAGGGGTGGGGGTGGGGAGGGGACGGGGAGATAAGGGGGAACCACATGCACGGGAACCAGCACTGGAAGTCAGGCCCCCGGTCACGGCACTGCCTGACCCCATTTGCTCCCTGTAGAATGGGTCAACAGTCCTTCCCCCCACATGGCCGGGGGCAGGTGAAGGGGAGGAGTTTGCGAGGCCAGGAGGCCAAGGTTTGAAAAGCAATGGGATTAATCCTCCCTATCAGGATGCCAGGGCAGGGTTCAAAGTTCCTACTTAATCTCCTGGGGTGGGAGGAGGGGGGGCGCACGCTCAATGGGCTGCGGGAGACGGATACCCGCGGGTCCCCGTAGGCGCGGAGCCTGAGGTCCACGGACTGCGCCTGCGCACACGACACCCTCCCGGGCAAGCCAAGGGGGCGTCAAAACCCGCTGCCCGGTCCCTCGGCTGTGCAGGGCACGTGGCATTGTCCCCCAGGCCAGGCCGGAGCAGGTGCCGCGATGGCGGGCATCCTTGCGGAGGAAACCCCCTGGTGGGGGCGGGGTGGGGCTGACCGAGGACGCCGGGGCCTGGGTTCCCGGGCCGCGGAGGCCGCTGAGCCACCCCGAGCCTCCCTCTCCTCCGAGGAGACCCGGGATGGTAACGACACCTGCTGCGCCTGTCCCCGCGCTAGTGGCTCTGGGGGCGGAGTCCAGGCCCAGAAATCTTTGGGGATTTGTTTCGTTTCGTTTTGTTGTGTTTTCCGAGCTTTCTCCCGCGACTGCAGCTGTTAGTGCGGGGCCGCAGAGCGCCCTCGCCAGGCCCGCCGCGGCGGGTCGGCCCATTTCCCCGACGCAGGAGCCGAGGCTCGGGGCGGGGGTGGGGGCGACAGGCGTGCGCCCGCGGCGCGCTGCGGACCCCGTGGCGGGGAGGGAGCCCCGAGGCTTCCGATTTCTCCCCGCCCCCTCCCCCCTCAGCTCCGCACAGACGTTCTCCCGCGGGGCCTCCCGGGCCTGGTTTCAGGGGCCCTCGGCGGGTCCCGGTGGGGGTCCGTCAGCACCTGGCGGGGTTAGCTAGCCCCGGGCCGCCCGATGGATCGGCCAGGAGGGCCTCGGAGTGGGGCGCGGGTCCCTGTGCCAGTCGCCCCTCCAGGCCACGCCTCTGCCCTCCTCCCAGCTCCCGCTCGCGGAGGAGCGCAGCTCCGCTTCCTGTTCCATCGGGGAAACTGAGGCCCAGAGAGGTTACGTTGCTTTTCAAGCGCAGCCAGCGGGCTTTGAGCTGAGCCTTGAAAGATGGGAGAGATGTGGCCTTTTGGAACAGGGGAGGGCTGCTTGGTGGCCGGGGAGCCGCTTGGGCATGGCCTGGGGGTGCGCGGTGCCCGGCAGACGGTTCCACCTGCCCAGGGCTCGGCGGAGGTCTGGCTGGGCCCCTGGGTGGCTGGGTGGGCGGATGGATGGAGGAGCCGCGAGGGGGCTGCCCAGTGTGTGCTGGGGAGACCCTGACGCGGGTCGGGAGGTGCTCGGCGGACCACCGGGGCGGAGGCCAGGCCTCGCGGTCTGGGGCGCCTGGTGAGTGCTGGAAGCCGGTTTGGGGGAGAAATTAAATATCTGTGTCTGACGAGGGGGGAGGGGAGCTGGATTCTTGCCGCTCTACCTGCACAAATCCCTCCACGCGCGCTAGGAGGCGTGGTGGGCTCCCTGCAGGAGGAGGTGCCTGGCAGGAAGACCTCGCGGCCTGAGGGGGTGCGTCGCTCCCTGAAAGGCGGACAGCGGGGGCTCAGGACTGAGGACAGCCAGCAGGGCGCCGGGGAAACGGGTCTGACCGGCTGAGGAGGGGGCACAGCCCCTGGGTGTGGCAAGCCTGCCGAGCTCCCGACTCGCTGCCTCGGGGCTGGTGACCTGGGAGGCCACATCCGGGGCGTCCGCCTGGGCGGGGTCTGAGGCGGTGCCGCCCCCCGCCGGGAGGGCAGGGGGCGGGGCCACGGCCAGGACCCGGGCCCCACCCCCACCCCCCACCCAGCCATCCCAAACGGAAGCCTTAACCCCCTCCTCAGCCTCTATCCCCACGTCCCCCCAACAACTGCCCTGTCCCCTCTGCCTTTCCACAGCCAGCCTGCTCCCCAGAGATGTCCGCAGTCCCCGCGGCAGCCTCCCTGGGGGGCCTCCCTCACCCCCACTCTGCCTTCTCCGCACCGCTCGGATGCGGCCGAGGCCACCGCAGCCACGTCCACAGCCTCCCTTAGCCACCCTTGCACACGGAGCCCGCTGTCCGCCCCCACCGTTCGTGCGGTGAGCTCCCTTCCCGCCCCGTGACTCCTCAGCCCCTCCCAGGCCGGGCGAAGGGCGCCCAGAGGGCCGCTTCTGACCCCTCGCCCCAAATCTCCGCTGCGGTGGGGGGCTTGCCGCCCGCGTCTCGCAGGCTCCTCGGCCCACCGTGCCCAACCCAGACGCCCAGCCCAGCTTCCTCCTTGGGCTCAAACCATGCGGGTTTGAATCCCAGCCAGCGCCAGCTCTTACCGGCTGTGGGATCTGAGAATGAACGACTTTCCCTCTTGTGCCCCAGAAAGTGGGGATAAGAGCAGCGCCCACCTCCTAGGCTGGCATCGAGGAGTCAGCGGACAGTCCTGGGAACGGCGCCTGGCAGAGCCAGCGTTCAGCCGCCAGGGTGTTTGGTTCCAAGAAGAGCCCTTCCTCCCCAGCTCAGTCCCGGTCCCTGCGAGGAGGTGGAGGCAGGCAGCCTCCAAGAAGGGCCCCCACCGCCCCTGCCATCCCACCTCCGGTGTTCACACCGGTATTCACACCCTGGTGTGATCTGTGGGCTCTGAGTGGGGCCGGGAAGTGATCTCCGGCTGGTGGACAGAAGGCAGCTATCACCGCTGAGACTAGGTTATAAAAGGACGGGCATCTGTTTGGAGGGCTTGCCCTCCCTCCCTTGCTCTCTCACTCTGGGCAGAGCCAGCCGTGCCCTGAGCAGCCCTACGGAGAGGCCAGGACCTGCGACCACCAGCAGCCCGGTGGGTGGGCTTGGAAGCAGATCCATGCTTCAGGCGCCTTCTGGAATGTTACGTGTTTCTCCGAGTCTTTACAATCGACTCCTCTATACCAAACTCAATAGCAATTTTTCACGTGAATTTACTTTTAACAAACATTTCCAAAACATCCACGTAGCATTCATGGACACAGGGGCCATCTTTTTGCACTCACTCCTGTTTTCGCAGTTTGCGTGCTATTCTATTAAAGGACCCCCATTAATGTGTGTGACAGTGTAAAGAGGTTGTGGAACGAGGCACAAAGGGTAGGGCAGAAGCCAGCAGGCCTGGCGCAGCGCCTCTGGGGCCCCTAACTTGGAGGGGGGCGGGAGGAGGGGCTTAAAAGTTCCAGGAGCTCCTTGGAAGTGTGCCTACTTCAGGGCCCCTGGGGCTCAATCAGTTGATCTCAGCTCAGGTCATGATCTCAGGGTTTGTAGGTTTGAGCCCCCCTTCAGGCTCTGTCTGGCAGTGAAGAGCGTGCTTGAGATTCTCTCCCTCCCTCTCTCTGCCCCTCCCCTGCTCGCTCGCTCTCTTCAAATAAATAAACTTTAAAAAGAAAGAAAGAGTGTCTGCTTCATTGGCACGGATGGGTAGGTCTGGGGCTTGGAAAAGTCAGTAGCACCTGTCGGACGTTTTCCCACGTGCTTTTCAGACTGCTTGGCGTGGCTCCGGACCAGTGAGCTGGTCAAGTGCTCCTGGGGAAGAAAGCTGCTGCATGGTCATTGTTTAATTACCTACAGGTGTTACGATCTTTCCAGTTTCTGGGGCCTTTTTTTAAAAAATTATTTTTAATGTTTTATTTATTTGTGAGAGAGAGAGAGAGACAGCGTGAGCAGGGGAGGGTCAGAGAGAGAGGGAGTCACAGACTGAAACAGGCTCCAGGCTCTGAGCTGGCAGTCAGCACAGAGCCCGACGCGGGGCTCGAACCCACGAACCGCGAGATCATGACCTAAGCGAAAGTCGGACGCTTAACCAACTGAGCCCCCAGGTGCCCCTCTGGGGCCTTTAAAGACTAAAATGTAGGGGCACCTGGGTGGCTCAATCGGTTGAGCGTCCGACTTCGGCTCAAATCACGATCTCACGGTTCGTGGGTCCAAGCCCCGCGTCGGGCTCTGTGTTGACAGCTCGGACCCTGGAGCTGCTTCAAGCTCCGTAAGAGGGCAGCTGTTGCAACATCCAGTTCATCTGAAGGATTTCAATGATTATTCACACAATAAACATTCTGGTTTTAAAAAATAAAAAATTAATAAAGACTAAAATGTCGAGAATATCCGTGTCAACTCCCCACCCCCTTTGTCTCCTCTCCCATCAGTCACCAAGTCTCCTGATATCTCCTGCCCCCCCCCGCCCTCCCCCTCCCTCCCCTCCTGCGGGAAGGCGAGCCGAAGTGGAGTGTCCCCGCCCACCTGGGCAGCCAGGGGGTGTCTCCTGCTCCCCCCTTCACGCACCCCTGCCCCTCCTCTCACCAAGAGCCCCCGCCTGCCCTTTGAGCTCCAACCTTCCCACCTCACCGGGGGCTCCCCGCCTCCGGGGTCCTTTCCAGGCCAGGCCCTTGCTTGCCACCCACCGGCTCCCCAACCGCAGACGGAGGATAAGCACGGAGCCCCGGGCTCTGCTCCCACCCGTCTGACCGCGGCTCGGCCTCTGTGTCCTCTCGTGCTGGTTGTACACGGGGGCAGCAGTGGCTGTCCTTGCCCTTCCCTGCATGGCTGGCAGGATCAGACACGAGGGATGAAGGGACTTGTGAGGGACTCTCATCTTTATTAGTATTTACTATCGTTGTTGTTCTAACCACTCAGAAACAAGATGCTCAGGACCATAGGATGGCTGTCAAGAAATGCCAGAAATCGGCAAAACTTCACCTGGCCCTGCCCAAGTGGCAGGCGGTGTGGGCAGAGACGGGAGGGGTGCAGGGAGCCGGGGTTCAAGGTCCTGGGGGTCAGGTCAGCTTCCAATGGGAGGAGCCTGCCCCGCTAACTCTCCCTCCTCAGACACAGTCGCCACAGCACCGGGGCCACCACACTTTTAGAGGAAATGCTTCCATTTTGTTTAAAATCAGAAAGATAAGGAAATTTTAGGGTGAAGAAAACGTTTCTTTCATCTTTATACCAAGGTGATCATAAAATACAACTCTCATACATTTTTTAAAAGTTTGTTTATTTTGAGAGAGAGAGAGAGAGAGCGTGGGCGCGGGCGTTAACGCAGAAACGGGGAGGGGCAGAGAGAGAATCCCAAGCAGGCTCCATGCTGTCAGTGCAGAGCCCGACTCAGGGCTGGATCTCATGACTGAGATCTTGATCTGAGCTGAAACCAAGAGTTGGATGCGTGGGTGTTGGGGGGGGCTCAGTCAGTTAGCTTCTGACTCTTGGTTTCAGCTCAGGTCATGATCTCACAGTTTGTGAGTTCGAGCTCCACATCAGGCTCCATGCTGACAGTGCGGAGCCTGCCTGGGATTCTCTCTCTCCTCCTCTCTCTGTGCCCCTCCCCTGCTCACTTTCTTTGTCTCTCTCTCAAAAATAAATAAATAAACTTAAAGAAAAAAGAGTTGGATGCTTTACCAACGGACCCACCCAGGTGCCCCAGAACTTCTGTATTTCTAATGGAGGAAGGACCCCAGGGAGGTAACCTTGGGCAAATGAAAGTCAGATGCAGCTAGGGTCCTGGGTCCTGGGCAAGTTTTCACGTCGTGAGCCTCAGTTTGCTCACCGCTAGAGTGGGTGTGATCATACAAGCCATGTGAGAATCAGCGAGCCGATGAAGACTGGGCGCTGGGCTCGGGATTCCTCCATCCACTGTCCAGTGGGGTCTCTGTTGTTTTGCACTTG